AAAAAAAAAAAAAAAAAAAAAAGAAGAAGAAGAAGAAGAAGAAGAAGAAGGAGCTAGTTTTCTATGTATCCATGTCAGTAGATCAGTTTTGAGTGAATGAAACAGAGTACACAATGAGACATACTGATGATTATATTTATGTAAATGTTTGCAGACCATTCTACAAGACATTGTGTTTCTATGTGCATACCTGCCTCTGTGTGTGTGTGTGTGTGTGTGTGTGCATGCACGCACATGTATGTGTGTGTATTTGACAGGCAGTGGAACATGGTAGAAAAAAACTCTCAGTCTATAAGCAGACTGGAATCAAATCATTACTACCTATATGTGTGCGACCCTGGGCAAGGGATTTTACTTTTCTATGCCTCAGTCTTCTTACCTTGAAAATGATGTAAACAGCAGAACCATATTTACGAAGTTTTGAGATAGAGAAATAGACAGACAAACAGACATCAAAGAACAATGCCTGGTCCAAAATGCTAAGTGGTTACTGTTCTTTATAACTATTGTTTTTCACCAGCCTGAAGGGATACGCCAGTAGTGATGGAGGCAGGGGACTCTGCTCAGAAAAGAGGTGACTTGGGCGCCCATCAGAGGGATTTTTACTGCATTACTAATGCATTATTTATTTTAGTAAAGAGGAAGCAGACGAAGGATGTATGATGGCCTGTGAATGACTGGTATAACTGATACAGGAATGTGAATGTTTTTTCCATCCTAGGGATCGGATCCAGGGCCTTACACTGAGCTGCATCTTCAATCCTTTTTTAGACTTTTAGACAAGGTCTCACTAAATTACCCAGGATGGGCACAAACTTGCAATCTTCCTGCCTCAACCTCCCAGAGTCCTGGGCTCACAGATGTGCATTATCACACCCCACTTAGCTGTTTATTACATTCTACTTAATACTTGTACGTGTTGTGAAAGCATCTTGAATACAAGAAAGCACAGCCCTCCTTGGTATTATTCCTGCAAAGAGGGACATCAACTGTAGAAATGCTTGAGACCTGTCCTAGCCAATACAGTAGCCACTAGCCACATGTGGTAATTTCAATTTAAATTAAGTACAAATAAAAATTCAGTTCTTGGGTTGCAGTGGTCAGATTTCAGGGGCTCAGTAACCGCATGTGGCTACTGACTCCCATATTGGACAGCAGCTGTAGAACACTCCTATCATCACAAAAAATTCTATTATACAGTGCTCCTCTGAGCACACTTTGCATAAATGTGAACATCTGCAATCCTGTCCCTGGTCTACACGCCAGCCCCTAAATATTTAAGCCATGTCCTACAAAGGGCATGTGTCCCTGAGAGATTTTTATAAAGTTCTATTTGAGATCTTTCTACTATTTGATTATGGAGGCACTGAGAAAATATCTTTTCTGAAGTTCTGACAATAGTTAGCACAGACTTTGCCATCATTATCCGTGCTGGGATATGCTTAGTCCATCTTAACTTTGCTAAGGGTGAATGATACCATCTTTCTTCCAGGAAGGAAAAGGGAACCTGGCTCAGAATCCTATTACTTGTGAGCTTAAAGGGAGAGAAATGCTCCTCCTCGTTTGACACCGACACTTATCCCAGGTTCTTTCTGTTTGTCCTAGGTGAGCTGCTCCTGTTGTCTAGCATGATCTTCCTACTCCAGGGAGCATGTGGCTGCCCAGAGAAGTGCTTGTGTCACCCGTCTTCAAATTCTGTAGACTGCAGTCACCAAGGTCTGGATGAAGTCCCTCCTGATCTCCCTCCTGACACGCTAACCTTGCTTTTGCAAGATAACCAGATAAGCCAGCTTCCTGCTCTTGCATTTAGGACAGTGCCTCAGCTCAAGATCTTAAATCTGTCCAACAATTCCCTTTCGACACTGGCCCCAGAAGCTTTCCATGGACTTTGGGACTTGGAGGTTTTAAATCTAACCCAGAATTCCCTGCTTTCTTTGGAAAGCAGGATTTTCCAGTTTCTCCCACAGCTGCGGGAGCTTGATTTGTCCTCCAACAACATCAGCCACCTACCCAAGTCCCTGGGCAAGCTGTGGGAGAATCTCACTGTATTCGCAGTGCAACACAACCAGCTTCAACATCTCAGTCGTGAGCTCCTAGAATCCATGCCCGGGGTGAGGCTGCTGCTGCTCCACAGCAACCTCTGGAAATGCAATTGCCACCTGCTTGGTCTTAAACTCTGGCTGGAGAAATTTATCTACGAAGGTCAGTAATGTCCATGGGGAAAGCCCCAGCGGTGCATCACCACCCTTGAGTGTGCCTCTCTGTTCTCTGCATCAGCAGAAACATGGAGGAAAGGGCTAGGGGAGTTTTCTGCTTTTTCACATTGATGTCATTTCAAGATACGGCCAAAGGGGCAAGCGAGCCATTACTGTGCATTGAAACGCAGGTGTCTACAGTTACCTACTAAAATGATGCAGGGAGATAGCTCGTTCTACTTGTCTCAGTAATACAAGGTGAAATGACAGATCTGGGATGTGTACACTTAAGAAAGAGGAATTTCAATTGTCACCTAGGTGACTGCCCAGCCCAAAAGGAACACGGACCTTCCCTTCTTTTCCCTTCCCTTTCCTTTTTTTGTTTTGGCACCTGAGAACTGAACTCATGACCTTGCACTTGCCAGGCAGGTGCTTATGCCACTGAGTTATCTTCCTGGCCCTGAACTTTTAATTTTCAACTGTGAAGCAATTGGAGGGCAGGGATGTCACTCTATGGGACATTTTATCCTTTGTCTGCTTCTACCCATTTGATAGCAATAATTTTCCTAAAGAAAATTCCTTCTGCTTTAGCAAAGACTGTTTTTACAACAACTGGGTGCATTCAGGTCTCTCTGTAAAGTTCTTCTTTCTTTAACTAGATGCTTAAAGTAAAGTACAAGAGCTCAAAATATGAAAGGTGAGGAGCTCTCGACATCACCCAGTGGTGAGGAAGCCACAGCCTGAGAGCTGACTCCAGCATCTCTTTGACATACTGAGTAGCTGCTTTGAGCTATAGGATGAGGTGGGATAATTATAACACAGACTGTATGGTAACACTTATACCACTTACTATCAGACCCTTAAAAACAGTTTTGCAACCTCTGTTATCAACAGGAAACGGGCACAAAGGAGTTCAGTTTCATCTTGCCCAAGATGAAAGCACAGATGGCTATAGGAAGAAGGGATTTCTTTTCATACCCTGCAGTGTTTCTCTCAGCATCATTCATTCTGCCATATACCCAAATGCCTTTTATATACCACATACCACTCTAGGCATTGAGCAAAGTGCAGTGAGCAAGAAAATCCTTACTATCATGAAGGTTGCACCAGAGTAGAAGAAATAGATGTTAAATAAGATCCTAAGTAGAGTTACACACTCATATAGCAGTGCTGAGAAGACAATCAGGCAAGGTATTATGTAGAGCATGGGATGGAGAGATGGAGAGAGAAGGTGAACAGCATGGACAGAGAAGGCTTCTCCCAGGAGGTGATGTGGATGAGCAGAATCAAAACGAAGAGAAATGAGCCTAGAGATGACTGGGTGGGCTTGTAGGGAGGCCAGCAATGTGAAGGGACTGATTAAGTAGGTGGCGGGGCTCAGTGAGGCACAAGAGAGTGCCAGAGTAGCAGAAGACAGCAAAGGGGACAGAGATGAGGCAGGTCAAGTTCCCCAGGGGCTTGGTGGAGCAAGAGAGAACAGAGCAGGCTATGATGTCTAGATGGATTTGATCCTAATGAGATGGAAAGTTCTGGAGGAGTTTCAGCCAAGAGGATGATATCATCTGCTGACACTTCAAAAGGCTACTCCAACAACTCTTGGAAGAGTAGACCAAAGACTAGAGAAAGAAAAGCAAAACAACAAAAAGCAAAACAAACAAATAAACTCTAGAAGAGAAGGTGATTTCAGTTGCCCAGGGAAAAGACACAAGGTCCAAACCAAGGTGATGAGAAGTGATCAACAGTGGGAGACGTGTGGAGTATAGAATTGGATTTTGAATACAGATTTGCTAATGGGCTGAAGTGGGAAGTGAAGAAAAAAGTGTGATCACAGGAAGTGTTTTGTCCTGCAGGAGAGGCCTTATCAGTGTGCAAAGGTCTAGCTGAGAAAAGGCTGACTTGGGAGTGGGAGTGGGTGAAGGGAGACCGTGGAGGGTCTTCAGGCAGAGCTCATTTGGCCCCACTGGAGATGTCAGGCACGTGTACGACCTGAGCTGCTTAGTTCTTGGTATAGCATTGGATCCTGTGGCTCAGGAGGGTATGACATCTGCAGGCATAAGTCAGAGAATCAATAGCATCTGAGTGGTTGCAGCAGTTCTCAGAGGGAGGTAGGCGAGAGTACAGCATGAGCTCAAATCTACAATATAGACCCATGGAGCTCCTCAATAGTGTCATAGCAGTTACAAGGCACTAACCAGTTAATGCTCAAGTTAACAAGGTCAAGCTGCTGCTGGAGGGAGACAGCAGCAGGCACATAATGTGGGCTTCTTCTGATAGGAGGTGGCCAACAAAGCCAAATATGCCCAGAGGTGAAGCAGCCTGAGCTATCATGTTCTGCATTAAATTGTACACATAAACTGGATAATAACAGACAGTCTTCATCAAAAAAGAACATTTCTTGAAAAAACAAAAGTAGTTCCAGAGCTAAGATACCAGAAGCAGTGTGGGGTGGGATGAGGGTTCCCTGCTTAGCCAAAGAACATGCTGGTGGTCTTTGGGCAAGCTAGCTTTCAATAATGCCAAATACTATGATCGGATTAAGGCGAGGGGTATTAAGGCCGGCCCTTTCCGGTCCTCAGGTTGGGCTGTGCTCTTTACCTTTCCTCTGTGGTAGAGTGCAGAAGTAGAGATTACAGTCATTCTTCAGAGGAAGGTAAAATTAATTTGGACTAACAAGATCTGGATGCCTCCCAAAATAGCTAGAAAAAAAAATCCCCAAATAGATGCTAAACATGGGAGATATATAATGAACATAATGAGGAAAGGCAAAGTAAGGGACTAGACATTAATTAATAACTTCATAGACAAATGCAAGTAATACAGATACAATATTAGGACAGACTAAGTGATTAGACACCCCTAGATATCAATCATATATGAGTTTTGTCAGGTCAGAAGCAATGCATTTGGGGCAGGGTCTCCATCACAGGGATATTAGTGATGCCACTAATCGCCACTTGGCATTTCCATGTCATGGCTGGCTTTACCAAACCTTTACTGTGGGCAGGGTATTGTCCTCAGTTACCCGGCAGAAGCTACCCAGGTGAGCCTCTGAGCAGTCCTGGGAAGCAAATTTCAATATGATCACCCTCTGTCCTTCTGGAAATGCAAGCAAAGGCTCAGCGCAGTAATGAGACTTTTCTCAGGGTTACACAGTCAACCGACATGTAGGCTCGAAGTTGGAATTCAGTTTCTTCTTCTAAGATAGAGGTTCAAAGATGTTCGTGGTCAGATGGGTCACAGAGAGGTTAGCAAGTAGCTTCTCACATTGCCAGCTTCTACAAGTGGAGAAGGGCGTGGGACCCTCAAGCGTGGCAGACTTTGGCCCCTGACATAGCGGTGAGGGGTAGAAGGCAGTTCCTGGCCGAGGACACAGCTGCAGAAGAGACAGTGGAGATGCCAGGGGGCCGGGGCCGGAGGCACAGCCTAGCCTTTCTGCCACATCCCAGGACCCAGTCGGGGTTATTTCCTTGGCGTAAGGTCCCCAGGCTATGGACTTCATTCTAATACTGAGGAGCAGGAAGCACAGGATGGGTGAAAGGCACTAGGCCTGGGGTGAGGGAGTAAACCAGTCCACTTGGTTTAGGAGCAAGCTGATGGGATTGCTGGGCTCTGCGGGCAGTCTCCTTCCCTCAGCAGCGGTCCCAGTGCTGTGTGGCCAGATTAGACACCCTCGCTCTTGCTTAAATCTCCAGTCCTGTCTCTCTGGCTTCCTGCCATGCAATAGACTTCCCAGGAGAGGATCAGATGGCCCAGCGCAGAAGAATGCAACTGTCTACCAGGCAAAATCCCGAACCTCCACACAGCTGCATGGCATCTTGTACTTCTGGCTTCATGAAAAACTGGTTCCAGGGAGGGGGCGAATTCCTTTTTTTTTTTTTTTTGAACCTTTCTGCATTAGCGTGGAGACCCTTGCCTCAAGAGTTGCTGTAGAAGCCAGGAGGAGCCCCAAGAGACTCTGGCAGTGAATGGCTCAGTTTTCAACAATGCCAGCAACAAGGGCGTGGGTTGAATGTTGTCACTGTCATGACCCCTGGTAGGCACAGGCCACATGATAACATCTGTACTCACAAGGACACTTAGGACTTGTTTCAAGAGGCTTAGAAGGGCTTGCCAGATAGCTCAGCAGATTAAAGCACCTGCTTAGGCAGACACAGGGACCAGGGTTCAATCTCCAGTGTGCCGTGCTGGCCCCACCCCCGGCCACCCTGAGACAGTGATTGAGACTGGGCATAGTGGCGTGCGCCTGTAATCCCAGAGCTTGGGAGGCTAAACACAGGAGGATCACTACGAGTCTGAGCTGTGTGTGAGACCCTCCACACTCTGTACTAAATACATAAAAATAAAAAGAAGAGGCTTAGATAAAAGGATATGGAAGCACTCCCCACTCTGAAGTGCCATAAAATGGCAGGTGCTGATCACATTGAAGCACCGGAAATAGAGTGTACTTTCTAATGTAGTTACATAATTTGCCTCCTGTAAGTAGTATAATCCGAACACTCTGAGAGGCTGAGGCAAAAAGATCACAAGTTCAAATCCAATCTGGGCAACTTCAGTGAGACCTGTTCTCAAAATAGAAAACGGGATAAGGAGGGAGCTCCGTGCAAAGACCCTGGGTCCCCAATACAAAAATCAAAACATCTCCTGTGTCACTTTGTTCACATGGGGGTCAGTCTTCTTAGCTGTTTGGGAGTAGGTTTTCATGGCAGTCGAGGTGAAGCAAGCCGGGGATCATGGGGGAAGCCTGCCCAGTCAAAGGGCTTTAAGAGGACTATTCTCTTCACTCCTCCGGCTGGCACTCTAGAGAAAAGGCAGTAGAGAGAGGCACTGGCTGTGCCGACAAACCTCGGATGCGTGAGAGGGCTAGATTTGTGTGCTGATTTGTCTTCTCTTGACCTGGGTGAGGTTGCACAGGAATTACCCACAAGAGCAGAATATGACAGCTTATCTGGCAGTGATTTGTACATTGGCAAGTTTGACTGAGTTATAATGGTTTTATGGCAGAACATTTAGTCAGTGCTGTCTCAAAGTCAAATAATACATCAGTGGCCGAACTAGGCTAGAACAAAGTGGCTGACTCCAGCGCTCTTTCTAAGGAAGAATCACTGAGGATCCATTCACACCCCACATAACGGAAGCCTGTAACCCTGAGGAAATCCACCACCTTACAAGGCATAGAAACTGCATTTAACAACCCATTAGAAAGTTCAGTATTCAAGGTAGAAAATGTTTTGAGGCCTGAAAAGGTGCATTAGTTACACCTAATCCCATCAGCTAAACGATCAGATCAAGTCGTTAGACGCACACGACACTCAGAAGACTATTCTGCCTGTTCAGTTGGCATCATTGAACAGCATTAGTAGACACACCAGGTCATTGTAGTTTACCTATAACAAATGTTCCCAAGAATGGTCATTTATTTTGCGCTTTTGTTAGACTTCCAGTTGGAATCTGGCACAAAAGATTTCGGGCCTGGAGGGGCTCGTGGGCAGAGCGGGCAGCAAGAATACAAGGGGCAATGTCCTCCTCACGCTGGCTCCTAATGCTCCGCGTCAGCTTTTGCAGTTTTCCTTTTAGCTTCCGCATATGGTAAAGGTAACTTGGCTTCTAATGAATTCTTGGTCATAAGTAATTGGCAGTTTAGCGTGGTGGCATTTTTAGCATGTAGGCAATTTAGAAATCCTGAGATCATAAAATATGGATGTTAAATTCTTTGACTCCTGGAAAAGAAAAAAGGCACTTTATAAATGCCATCTGTGCAAGTTTTCCAGGCTGAGGATTCAGAAAATCAGCTGATTTGGGCTCTGTTATCAGCCTTTGTTTTTATTTTTTAAAGGGGGAATAACAGATGGCGTTGTCTGTGGGTCACCTGACACCTGGAAGGGGAAGAATCTCCTTAAAATTCCCCATGAGCTGTACCAGCCCTGCCCTCCTCCTCTTCCTCCTCATCTAGAGCTGGCATCTTCCCAGGCTCAGCATCACAGCTCTGAACACGGGGAGCTCCACAAGTCTCCTGAGGACCACAGCCTGGGCCCACATGACCTCTCAGAGTGTGGGGTCAAACCCAAACCAAAGCCAGTCAACCTGCGTCACGCCGTGGCTACTGTTGTCATCACTGGGGTTGTATGTGGCATCGTGTGCCTCATGATGCTGGCGGCTGCCATCTACGGCTGCACCTACGCAGCCATCACAGCCCAGTACCATGGCCGACCCTCGCCTCCAACCACGGAGTCTGGGAAGACAGGAGGAAAAGAGCTGTTTGAGAGCCTGCCGGCCTAAGAGCACGCATCTCAGAGGACAGTGTTACAGGTTACAAGAAAGGCCCGAGTATTACTTGTTAGTGTTCCATTGTGCTTTTTTTCCAAAAGGTTAAAAACAATGTCTTTAAAAAGATGTTCCTGTGAAGATATAAATGTTGAAATTTTTAAAATATCACAGATTAAAGAGTTGTGCCCCAGTTTAAGAAGTTATGCCTGTGTTTTCATGTTGGGGAATACCACACCCAGAGAAGGAGAAGGTACTGTCTTGCAGGTACCCTTTTGGGTTAAGTTGCTTTGCAGAGGAACAGGAATTCTAACACATGAGCCAATGCATATTCTTGGGAGCTCCAGAGTCCCTGGAAAGCCACCCAAGTCTGAGTGCCTAGAAGAGGCCAGTGAGCTTCCCTGAGGGGCAATGAACAACTCAAGTTCATGCTAGATTGGAGCTACTTTCAGAGGTTGTATATATTATATATTTAATGGGAGTGTCTGTTAGTGGGGAATTTTTTTTAGCTTGCCACAAGAGTCAGATTATATTTAAATTTTTAAATGGGAAAACCATTTGGGGTTTTCCAGGCCACAGAAAAAGAGGAAGGTCCCATGTCTGGATAACGCAACTCAAGCCCAGAGTCTGGGGAAGTTTCCTGATGCAAAGGTAAAGAGTTTTTAGCAAATACCAAGAGGACGGGGAGCCAGAATTCGAAGCACATATCAGCAAAAGCCATATCCACCAAGCAACTGTAACCTTCCATTTATAACTCTCACAGCAGGAATGAATTTAGGTTCCGCTGAAAGCGAGGTAATGGCTTTTGTGTATCCGCATCTACATACAGAGTGTGGAGCGCACACCCTTGTACAACCACACCCACACATAAACAAGCCTGGTGAAATCAGTTTGCCCACTAATGAAATGCAGCCGTGTTGGGGTGGGAGCCAGCAACTGCTGATCACCACCCAGATTGTCTACTCAACACTCTGGGATAGGAAGTGAGAAGGAAGTCTGAGGAGAGTGAGAATTACCAAGAGATCCGAGATACGTGGTGGCAGCCTTCCTGAATGTTATTTAGGTCATGGCTTTCAAAAATCAGGTGTGGATTGCTTAGTCCGTGGACATGTTCCTAAGAGTTGCATGCAGAGTGAATTTTTTGTAAATTGAATCATCATTTTAATGCAGTAGGGGAGCTCGCTATTTAAAGGAACCTTTCATGGAATCTTTCTGTAATGGAAATAATTGACTCCAGATTTACACATTTTGTAAATTTGCATTTTCTCATGCTAAGGTTTTCTCAAAGTGGAATTTACCTGTTCTCTCTCAAGTCATATTTACTTCTTAGGATTCAAATTATTTTACACAGGAAGAGACCACAGAGGCATTAAGGACATGTTAAAAGTAGGAAATGGCAAGTATAGGGCAAGCTGTCCCTCCAGAGCCATGACAGACATCGCTAATCAATCCCAGCTCTCCTCCCAGCTGAGCCCCAACACCACAGATGGTTTCTTAAGACAGCACTGTAGGCAACCAGAACTAATCAATTGGAATCGGTTCAAAGGATAAAGCACATTTGCCATTCAGGATACTGGCTCTACATTCACTCCTTCAGGCCATGTTTAAAAAAAAAAAAATGGTTTGAATTCTAAATCAGTAGTGCATTCCCTACCTTAGCTGGAATGTGAATGGAAGGCTTGCATTGTGTATGGGATAGAAAGACATAGCCCTGGCCTTGGTCCGTGGTGCACTGAAGCCACAGGGAAACAGATGTCCTGCCCCCTGCAGCGCAGGACTCACATCAACGCATCTCTATTATGGAGGCAGTCTGAACTTTCGCAGAGGGAGCCTGGGACATGAGCTATCTTTTGAGGGCAGCAAGTTTGCTAAATGATTTTTTTTCCCCTGGGCAATAGTCTAAACTTGAAAGGTAACCTTTTTGGTGAATATTAAAACAAATCTGAATACATTTAAGAATAGATTTTAAAAGATGCTAGGGCAGGCCTGCCACTGCAGTCACATCGTCTCCACCCTGCCAGGTAGGCCACTTCAGTGCGCGGAGCTGAGAACCCTGCTCTAAGGACATACTAACTACTTTGCTGGCAGATGAGTCCTTTCTTTTCATTGCTCTGTGCTATGAATCCTGGGACAAAACCTCAGTAAGAGAAAGGCAATGTAGCAGCTGTTTGTCTTCTCCTCCTGGTCTTGCCACGTGTTCCCAGGGCTCAGGTTGCGTAGCACGCATGGCACAAGACACTCTCGTGTGATCCTGATACCTGCCCGTGAGCTACCTGAAGAGCCGCCCCAAAGACAGGAGCTGCTGAAGCAAATGTGGTAGGCTTCTCCCACCTGCCACTGTTTGACACTGAATACACTGTACTCTACCAAAGGTTTGGTGACACTGCAGGTCAAGCCTGTTCCCTGCCCACAGAGGTGACGTGAAAAAGCTTCCACTACCCCACAGAAACCCCTGAACATAGTTAGAAACCTCACTTGTCAGCACCCATATCCTATTAGATTTCTCAGGGCAGATGAGAACTCGGGCAAAAAGACTTCCAGCTTTATGGATTGTCTTTAAGGGAAACAATGAAAATGATGCATACATCCATCAGATTTCTATCTCTTCCCTACAGTCACCACAAACAGCAGTTTGCAATGAAAATAATTACATACTCTGAAATGTCAACAGCTACTCAGTACAGAAAAATATAAATCAAATTGTTTAAATTAACAAATGCAGAGTTATCATTTGTTAATATGAGGAATGAAATGTTTTAACTGTAGAAAAACAGCAAATGAAAGACCCAATTTGGAGTGTATTCTGCAAGAACCACAAATTTTCTTTCACAGCCACTAGAGCTCACGAGGGGTAATTTACAAACGCCTCATAGATTATTTTCAGCTGTTTATTGCCGCTGTCATATTCATAGATTTCCCCATTAAAATGTCCTTCCACATTGAGCCACGCTGAGGGTACACCGAGGACAAAAATCAGAGTTACTGTTTATAATTTCTGAGGAAGTCCTCTAAAATATCATTTTGCATCATATTTAATAGAAGTGAGCGACTACAGATAGCTGAGTTCTGCCTTGCCAGAGATCACAAATTCATAAACAGCCACCATCATTGTCAGCAGGCAAGTAAAGAAGGATAGGCCAGGAGGAAGTGACACTGGAGATTTTAGGGTAAAAAGACCACGCACCAAACCTGTATCTAAAAAACACAATTAACGTTGAAATTCTTGGGCTGGGGAGATAGCTCAGTAGAATAAGCACCTGCTTGGCAAGGGCAGGGTCCTGAGTTCAATCCCCAGTACCACAACCAAAACAAAACAACACAAAACAAACAAACAAAAAAAAACCATTGATATCTTTATCACTGCAGGAAGATTTTCAGGCTTACAGCTATAAAATGTTAGAGAAATGACGGTCTTATTTTTCCTTATACAATGGAAGATAAAAATTTATTCACAGGTAAGTTTCTTTCTGAACACGCATTAAAATCAAATCTCATTATTCAAATTAACCAAGTAATCCTGGAAAAAGCTACCATTGTCTCAGATCTCAAACATTAAAAGAAGTAGCTAAATTAATTTCCAAAATAATCTCTTGGCAGTAGACATTCATTTAATTATATAATGGCAGTTGAAAGCATATAAATTTCTGTTTCAGGTCAGTGAATTACCCTTTCCAGTTTGGCAAAACCCAGTAGAGTATCCATGGTTAAATGTTGTTGACAGAAACTTACCAGAAAATGAGATTCCAAACCTACTTGGCATTTCTGGGCTGTGGTTTATATGCACAAATCATGGAACCATCCTGTGTTTCCTTTTGATGGAATGCTTTATTTTTTAATGATCAAAATGCAATGGAGTTTCAAAGAAACCCTTATCCCATTCAGAGGAGTGCCTTCATGAGCTACTACCTTTAGCTTCTTGACTGCACTTTGCCCACCAACTTTCACTCCAACGTACTAAATATTCTTTTGGATGGTGAGGGTGTCAGCCAGCCATCAATGACCACCAAAAAGACACAGAAAAAGAATTAAAGAACTGGGAAGCCAGGAAAAACCTTCAAGAGAATTTAATCTAAACCTGGAAAATTTCAGAACAGCTGCCATAGCCTTCAGATCCATTGCAGACATTGCTAACAGATCACCGAAAATTTATCTGCTAAAGAACCGACAAGACTTCAGAATCCTTTTAAATCTATCTTCCAGGTACCCTTAACTGATGCATTGGAGTTGACATAAGAGATTAAACCTATTGGCTACCCTGATAGAGTTCAGTGCCCTTATTTTACAGATAGGAAATAGAAGCATAAAAAAGAAAGGGACTTTCCAAACATCACACATATAATTAATTGCATATTTGATAAGTGCAGTTGCAGATGCATGAAGTATGCATGAATAATAGTCTCACCCCAACATCCTTGTTCATTCTGTGATGAACCAAAATATCTAGACTATGACATAATTGTACTAATTGTTAGGATAATGACAATTATAGCACACCATCAACATTTGTTGAACATCCAACTCTGTGCCAGGAATTTTCCAAGCATCCTAATTATTTTCTATAAACCTTATATTGACCAGAACTTTACTGCCATACTACAGATGAAAGGACATTATCAGAGGGCTGGTCACTTAGCCCAGGTCACACTACTACTAAATGGGGGAAGAGGACTTTTGGCGCAAGTCTTCCTAAGGTCAAATCGTGGGCACTTTGGAAGTCGTGACAGATGTGAAGAAGTCAGAACCCTTTTCTGGCACTGCACAATATTTATTTTAAAACATGGCAGAGAAAAGAAATTCAGCTGCCAACTACTATGTCACTGCCAGAACTCCTGTCCCATCAGAAACAGGACAGCTGAAGGAAACAAGGTAAAATGCAAAATTGGGATCGTTTTCCTTATTCCTGACTCTGCTGGGGAAGTGGGACATTCTTGGAATGGGAGGTGAAGAAACTCAGCTCAGCTTTCTTACAATACTTGAAAGAACTGATGGATTCCACATTAACAGTCACATTAACAGATGGATTCCTCATTAAAACAAAGGTGGCTGGGCATGGTGGTGTGTGCCTATAATCCCAGTACTTGGGAGGCTGCAAACAGGAGAATCACTATGAGTCTGATTGAAATCTACATAGTGAGACCCTGTAGACCCTGTCCTAAATACAT